CTGTGTTAATCCTTGTGAAATCATGCATCACCATATCAGTGATTTTGCCAGCAATTTTACAATAATGACGCAATTTCGAAAATTCGATTGAGAAAAGAAACAATTTCAGCAGATTTTTAGTAGCATGCTTACAGACACATCATTGTATGTTTTTAGCTAACATTTCGTTATACATTGCTAATAATACAGTAAATATCAAAGAACATAAAATAAAGGGTTAAAACCCAGTATTAACGTAAGTCTTGTTTTAGAGTTCCCTATTTTCACAACTTTCTAAAGTCATTATCCTTGCAAATACATTCTACTCTTTCTACTGCTTATTTAAACTCAACCATTTTTTCACATTCCTGTTATTACTCCAAAATATCGTATTTATTACTGCAGCCACCGAAGTGATGCGATCAGGGCAAGCAAAGCTGAGCTAAAAAAACGTGTAACGCTTAAGAAATCAAGATATTTCGTAATAAATTTTTTTTTCAGGAATTACTTGGAAAACTCCCTTGTATTAAAATTTGTATTCTGAAGCTTCTGTAAAATTGCAGGAATTTAAGTATAGGTCAGCATGTCAGATTTGTGCATTCATAGGCAAATTAAGTACGAACCACTCATGTGTACTTGAATTTCTTCCCGGTAAAATTGCGCCAGGCTGCGTTTTGCCGGATCTGCTCGTCGAACAAGCTGATCCAGTAGCCATCCAAATGTTATTGCATGATATCCAGTTTCTGTACCTGCAGGCCACTTCGGTTTCGTCTGGTAAATTGAAAATGAGTTGAGTTTTTCGGACACAAAATATAAGCAGTCAGAAAAAAAGCATGTGCATCTTTCTCCATAGTGCATCTCTCAAAAAATGTTATTTTTATGCGTTTTTGCTGTGCAGCGCTATAGCAGCACTATATCGCTGCTACAGCCAGCAAAAACGCATATTGTCGAGAGGCTGCCTGTGTGTGTGTGTGTGTGTGTGTGTGTGTGTGCGCGCGCGCGCAAAGCGAGTGTAACTTCGGATATATGTTCCTACCCCGTGTGTCATCCTCCCGTTTTAAGATCTTCCCCCATACGTGCCTAAGCCCCGCGCACGAAACCCGGAAAACTGTTTCACGAACCACGCAACGTAGAG